TTTAGTCCGCCTCGCGCGGGCGAAGACGTGGAGGCGGGCGAGGACGCGCCTCCGGCGGAGATGGATGACTATATCGCGCCTACCGCCACGCCACGCGATGCCGTGGAAGGGGCGAAGGAGCCATGGCCCTACGCGGACTTTATCCAGCCCCCATCTTCGCAACGAATCATGAGCTACACCAAATTCAAGAAACTTCTTCAGATTCGCAATAAACGGGAGAAACGAATGGCCGCCGCCAGCGCGGCGGGTAAGACGCAGGTCGCGAATAACCCTGCGAATCCGCCCGTGAAGGTCGAACACACCACCACTAAGGAAAAGCGAAAGCACGGGATGCCTATGCGGGATTCTTTGGAGGTACCTTCCAACCCGCCCAGCGTGAGCGGCCGCCATGCCGAAAAGGAAATCCTTTCCCCCCCACCCCCGAAGTCTTTGGAAGACAACAACGGGGAAGAAGGCGCCGAAGTACGACATTTTAGGGCGCGTGAACCGCAATCCCCGGCGGAGCCCTTGCGGGAGGAAAAGGCAGCGGTGGGGGAAGAGGTCAGGGGCGAATCCAACAAGTCCACCCCCGCAATGGAGACGAAAAACGAGCTCGCACTACCGCCAGGAGAGGGTAAATCCACCCCCAACCTTTCCAAACCATCCACCACGACAGTGAACGATTCGCAGGCTGCCGCGGGGTTGTCGGAGCCGAGGGTGGGGCGGCATTTCGCTCCCAAATTATCGCGAAGAAAGCGCCGGGAGGTGATGCCCGCTTCACCGGTGGAGCCCCTCAACGAGGACGCCAGCGCGGCTGAGGTGGGGGTGATCCCTTTGATGGGAAAGGGCGAATTATACGCCGCCGTGAAGGCGCACGCGGCGGGGAAGACGAAGGTGGGGGATATAAAACCCATAGAGAATAATATGAGCGCTTTTGTGGAGGAAAATGACAAATATGAGGCGGAAGATGCGCTCGTCAGAAAGTTTACACAAGATTTGGAGACGACCATCCCGGGGTTGAACACCAATGGGCAGAGCCTCTCTTTTTCATCGGCGGAGTCCGGCATTGTAGAGGCTCAAAGTGACGATAAAGCCATACAGCCGAACCCGGCCGTGAAAACTGACCGAGAGGGGTCTACAATAAATTCCTCCGAGAGAAAAAGAAGGGCTGCGCTGCGGCGGAAACGTGAACAGCGCACTCGGGAGCGTATTAAAGCGACAATATTACGGCTTCAACAACGGATCCAGGAGCTTTCCCAACGCGAACCGGCTTGTATTTCCCCACAAGATTCGCCTGAAATAAATACCCTTGAAGAAGAAACCGCCCCTGCGCATTTTGAGTGCGATGCATCCGAAGCTGAGGAGGAACTTTGCGAGAATGAGGTTGACGTCCCAGCGGACGAAGAGGTTATCGAGGAAGCAGAACTGGATGCAGATTCCGAGCCTAATCTTGAAGACACCTCCGCGGGGGAAGAAGAAATCGCAAACGATCACCTCGATGATGATGTGGAGGAGATCCCCGATAAACTCGACGCGTCTGAGCTCCCGGAGGACCCTCACACGCCGTCGATGGCCGATTCTACGGCATCGCAAGACGACCCCGCGGTGGCGACGGCGGAGGCCGCTCCCGAGCCCCTCCCCAACGACGCCGGCCCCACTTCCGAACTCGCCGAAGAGATAAATGACCCCTCGGAAGGGCCGCCGGAGGAGGCGCCGGGGGCCGAGCCGATCGAGCCCCCCGCGCCACCCCAATTAATCGCGCGAAAACGCCTGACCCGCCACCGCGCCTTGGCCAATGCCCGTCGCCAGCGCCGTCTAAACGCGGCCGTGAGGAAGACCGACGAGCCGCGGCCCGAGCCCGAAGTGGCGGCCCCGGCCGACCTTTCCGGAAGCCCGGAATCCCGCTTGAATCCCCCGACGTTGACTTTTCCCGACGGCAGGGTGGTGTTGGAGAACTTCACGGACGGGGAGATGATCGTCCGGCGCGACTCGACGGAGCAGCCGTGGGGGATTGGCCTGCGCTACGACTGGTCCGCCCGCGCCCTGGCGGTCGCGTCCTTCCCGACGTTCCCCGCGAATGACCCCCGCCTTCAACACGGCTTTATTCAACGCTACCACAACCGGCCGGTGTGGTATCTCAAAGAGGTCAACGGCACGAGCGCCACCAATCTGAAGTCGGTGATGGAGGTGTTATCCCGTACCCTAACCGCACGTTTTGTATTTAAACGACTCTGAGCAAGGCATACGATAGATCTTTTCCCCTACATCACTATCCAATAGATTAAAGGGGAGAGGAGGGTGGGGGAAAATCTAAAAGACACGTCTGTAAACATAGAATAACTCAATATTGAACATCTATAGAAAATAATACCGAAAGATACACCGTTTTTGTAGGATATTCGGTTTTTTTATTATCTTTTAATATCCTATTCCACGCGAAGCAATCGTAAATTTTTCATTTTTATGACACTGTTCGGAAGCCTAACGTAGGTCTAAACCGCGCAACATGCTGTATATTTCCACTCGAATGGGTGCGATGCGTATCCTCTTCTATCCCCCTACTGATCTTGGTTTATTCTTATTCTGTTGTTAGTATTCTGTCTCGGGCGCTTCTTATTCGTAGCTCACACCTCCGTTCTCATTGTGGAAGGGCTTTGGGCGTCTTTTCTTCCATCTCCTATCTTTGCGTGCCACCTTACAGTGTACCCTTCCTATAGTGTAGAGTACCCTTCCTGCAGTTACCCTCCCTGTAGAGTACCCCCCTCCCCCCCCCTCCCCTCCTTCTTTTTCTGTGCTTTGAACTGACACAACCGGCGAT